CGCCTCCAGATGCTTCTAAGCTTCAATCAATTTCAAAATTTTATCTGTATTACTAATATACAATTTGTGCAGTTGATTACCTGAGAAAAAATATAGCAGAATATATGGAATTAACACTAAATGCCCCATATTAATGCGAAAATTTGAATAGGTAGGAATCTTCGCGAAAAATTTAATGAAACTGCAGCTACATTTGGAAGCAAAATCTATTTACAGCTTTCTTAAGCCATAAATGTGTTACTGAGAAACGAAGTTCTGAATTTATCTATAAAGAATAATTTATTTATTATATCAGATACACGTAGGTATCATTGTACCAATGATTGCCAATAATCAACATAAAATAAATGCCAAGTTGAGCAAGCATAGTATACAGGGCAATATATTAACGATGAAAAACCGATGAGAAGTTTAATTGCTAATATTTTAGATGAGAGAAAATAATTCTTTTCTCATGCTCTTAGAACAAACGACTACAAAGCAAATTCAATTTATAAACATTGTTTAAAGTGTCCGTCATTTCGTGTGTATTTCATTTTCAATCACTCACTCAGTTCCTATTTTATTATCACAATCATTTTTAATTTTTAGCACATTTGTTTTTGTATATATGTATATATTTCTATAGTATTTAATTAATACAAACCGGTTATTATAATATCAGATATTAATAAGCCTAAAGAAAGTGTTAAGATAAAATTAATATTGTTGTTCAATGCAATAGTACTTCCTCCTCTAGCTCTTAGTTTAGGAAATCCTACACCTGAGGTTGCTACTCTTACGCCATCCACTGCTGTGAAAATAAAATTCAGTTAAAAAATACTTAAAAGACAGAAGCACTAGTTTCTACTCAACGTTTGCTGAAGAGTGATAATAATATATAATTTGTCTACATACAACAGAGGTATAATAGGAAAGTTGAGCTTAAAAATAATGAAGAAATGAAAATCTTCAGGGTATTTTGAAAGCTGACCACCACAACCATTTTTACCTGGTTCAAAACTCACACAATTTTAAGAAGTGAAAGTAATATAAAAAAATGTAATTCACTTAATCAAAAACGTAACTTAACTTATTATTGACACTTTGATAAAGCATGAAAAATTAATCATTGTAGTCATACATAAAACGGAGCTGCTCATTTGCCATTGAAAGTACAAATCCAAGAAATTTAAATCGGGGAATCGCGCTGGCCAATTGCATTCCCTATACTTGTTCCAAATGCTCACTAGTTTCTCGAAAAGCTTGAAAGATTATGTGGAAACGAGCCCAAAATAATTGGTGCTCTTCAGAGTAGAATCAGTCAAAAAACTATATCTGGCGTATTTACAATATAACAACTCTAAGTGACCATACTGTATAAATAATTAATCTTTGTTGAATACTGGATGTTTTTTGGCTTTGGGCTTTTGCATTTAATTGGCAAATTTAATACTTTTTGTAATAATGGTTTGCCTGAGAGTAAACTTGTAGCTCATTCCAAATAATATTACCATTGTTAAAATAATAATGATTACACCTAGAACCATTGCAAGTCTCGCAATATTGGCGTGTAACATTTAGTCCGGGAAATTTGCTACAGTAATCGAATTCAGTCCTGGACCCAATGTGATACGAATAACACCCTCTGTATATTCCAGTTCTATTATTCCTTGCCGTATTTCCACTTACGTCTAAAAATCAAAATCTTAAAATTTTCACAGCATTAAATAGAACTTCTGAAAATAGCCAGACTTATCAGAAAAACAAAAAATGTTGCTTTTCGCTTTTTTTGCTTACTATTGTGGATTAAAAACTCGGAATAGCAAGCAACAGAAAATCCGGGAGTGTGAATAGAACAATTTCTTGGAGTTAAACTTTTTGCTGGTTCAATGCAATTGCCAGCATTCACTTGAGGGCTGCATTCAAAGCAAAGTACCGAGTTGCTACTCACTTTCGCAGAAGCTAAAAATAATGCCCATAATGTAAAAAATTGCTTGCCATCTTTTAGTCCCTTAGACTAAAAATTCTTACCTACTGCACCATAGCTTAATAGTACCAGAACTCCAAAATAATACATTTTATATGTTTATATGACAAATTTACGTTATAAGATCAACTACCAGTTATGTGAATACTGCCAAACTGAATTATTACACCCATATATTGAACAAATTCGGATTTAAAACAGACAGCTGAATTTATTGTCCTATAAATTCATTATTATTGAAAATAATCTAAAAAACAATATTATTTCAAAACTTTTATCAATAGCATTTCCCACTGTGCGATTAGCAGAATAAATTGATCGAATTTAGAAACGGGGATGGGGAATAAATTCAAATACTCAATTTTGTCATTTTCGCTTTAGCTTACAAGCATTTTTATTTCAATTCACTAAACTGGTTCTAAAACTAAAGAAATAATCAAATAATAAGTAAAATCCATTGCTGATACTGGAATGTATTTCTTAAGATATTAGTTTTCAGTTTTTTAAATTGTTTAAGCGTTCGCTATAAAAATTAGCTTCATATAAGAGACCATTAATCCTGAGGTAATTATGGAGAGAGAAGGAAGAATGTTGACTGCTCGATTGACGACTATTGGGCCTGTTCCGGGCCCTGTTATTAGTCCATCTGAAATCAGCCATTTTCTTTGTTATATTAATAAAACTATATTAATAGATAAACTTAACATCAAATTAACTCATCATTGTTGACAAAGACAGAGTAAAATCTGACTTCGCTTTCGAAGAATAATTTTAACAATAAAATCTTACTACTATCGAATGTATGAGTGTTGCATCCAGAAACATTACATGTTTGGCAAGACACTCGGATAACGTTCCCTGTGGGATTATGACTGCAATGATCCATATAGCTATTATCTTCAATACTAAGAGGAAAACATCCTCTGTATATTCCGGTCAAGTTATACGGTGCATTATTTATGGTGGCATCTAGAAAATGGGAAAAAGTGACTCTTATTTGCTTCTTATTATTTGGGTAATAAGTAGATATTGCTTAGCCGTGAATTTCTAAAACTCCCAAAGCAAGACTTTTATTCAAATTCATGATTTTAAAACTTGTTGTTTAAAGGATATATTTTTAAATAATACTTTGAAACCATATTAACTGATAACTGATATTAAAATGTTTCCAGTTAATGTTATAGCTGAAAAGCATGTATTTAAATTTCAACTTATTTATGCTTGATATAAAGAAGGTTTTTGTCTTATTTATAGACCGAGCTAAGAAGAAATATGATAACAAACTATTTTAACGACAAAATTCACTTTTTCCATAAACATCCAGGCTCTCCCAAGAGAATTTCGTAGTGTTTCATCTCTAACGTGTAGAGTTTAGGAAAGTTTGACTTTACAGTTTTGGTCCCGCCTTATAGGCTGTAATCATAATTCTTCGGGTTAATTGGTTCATCTGTCTCTTGTTTTCCAATTTGTATTTCCATTTACGTGTAATTAATAGTTCTCTAGACAAGAAAATATCAGGTGCAAAAATAGGCATAGATCGCAATTAACGTATCGCTAAAACGGTTTTGTGCGAGGCGCGACAAACATTGGATTTGTTTCATGAAAGCCGAACACTCGAAGATAACGAGAAAGAGGTATCGTCACCAAAAATAGATTTAGTCTAAAATAGCGTTACGTTAATGAGCTGGACATGATTGCCTGCTGTACATGATTTTACACATTTTATTAGGTAAATAAACACAGTCAATTATTACTAATATCTATTAAATGAATCATTTTCTCTGAGGTTTCGATGATCTCTTGCAGCGCGCTTGATTCCTTTTCTGCCATTGTAGAACTCGGCAAGTAATCAAAAAATACAACATTGATGAAACTATAATTATATAATGAAACTCTAAACATTATCAAACTAATTATTCGGAAAACTTAAAGTTTGAAACGTCTTTGTGGCTTATGCAGGATATTTTCAGAAAATATTTTACCATGTATAATAAGAAATATCCGCAAAATAATTTAATATAGTCAAAAGTACCAATAAAATGCAAATTTCAAATTCATCTCAACAATTGCCGGCATCATTTAGGGAGGATCTGCATAACGTTAAGAACTCTCGCAAATATTGCAATTATTACTAGTATCTACGTATCTATTAACTGAAGCAATTTTAATAGCCTTTCGCAGTGGGATTGATTCCTTTTTGTCTTTGTCACTTATCACAAATTTATTTCTATTGAGCACCAATAGCTTGGCTAAGGTCCAACTATGATGTTTATATTAAATGTATATATAATTTATTGTTATTATATAATATTTAATCAAAATCGAAACTAAAATGTTTGGCCTGAATATAAGTTGATTCGTATTTTACTCATACAATTCCAACTTTCATCAACTTATAAAAAAATACCCATCAATATGGATTCATTTTTTAGTTTCAATAGGTCAAAATACATTTTTGAGTATAGCCTGTATATACCAAAGAACTCTCACATAAATATAAGAGATCTTAAAAATAATGAATAGATAAATTAACTGAATGGATCAAGCGCGGTGTATTGCAGTGATCAGTCGTAGCGAGTGAAAATTCAGCTAGGCAATAAAATTTTAAGTGCAGAAAACGCGTGTGCAATTTATTATTATATTTAAATATAACAACCATTCACTTACTATTGTAATTTAGAAATTCAGAATAGCAGCCAACTCTGAGCTTTTCAGAATCAATAGAGCAATTCATTGGAACCAGACTATTTCCGGGTTCGGAACAACTCTGTATATTAATATTGCCTATGGGATCGCAGAAATAGCAAAGTACAGAATTCTGAGCGGGTTGGGCCGTACCTGAAAAATCATTCCATTTTGTCGTCTAATTATGTAAAAAAAATTACTTGAATCAACTTACCTGCAGCAAAACAGCCTAAAAATGCTAAGATTTTAAGAGTATTCATTATAACTGTAAATGTCTATTAAAATCCAATACGTATATTGCCCAATCTGAGTTATCTAAAATTGGCAAAATCTGTAGGCGAGTAACTTTGAGGAAAATCGATTATTGGACTTAACAATGCTTATAATGCATTCTTACCTGCAGTGACAAAGCTTTAAAACACCAGAAAGTAATATTTAAACAAATTAACTCTAATTTTATACTATCTAAACTGGATCATCCAATGTAAGCCCAGAGCAAAACAGGATTAAGGCAGACAGGAAAATATACTGTACAAATTCAATATATTGGTAAAAGTTTGATTATTATCACCATCATCTGAACCGGGTTACTATTCTTTTGTATATTTCGTTATCTATATGTCTGGAATATACGGGGTGGTTTTTTAGTGCGAGAGAGTCCATTATTTCCGTTGGTGTAGAACTTTCGTAAAATAGTTTCATATAAAAGTTGTTGAAGCACAAAGTGCGCACATTTTAAAAATATCTTACATGATACAGCGTGTCTCAGAAAAGCAAGGCAAGATCAAAGTGTATTTTTTTAAATAGAACTACCCATTTTTCATTAGCTCGTGGAATGTAGCTTGAAATGCTACATATGCACTGTAAATTGTTTTTTTGATTCTTACGACGTTGGCAGATTATCGCCATTTTAGGGAAATGGTATCTAAAAATTCATTGTAGAAGCAAAAAAACGCAGTTAAAGATACAAAACAATACGTCTTTCCAATCACCACAGATCCGTTAAGAATTCTATTAAACCAAAATATCAATACATTGTACAGGGTGTTAACAATGTGGACTTCAATCTAGAACTTTTTAACGCAATATAACTGTTGTTTTTCAAATGGAAGTACCTGTATATTAATACGCCATTAGATAGACAATTTACAAAGTTACAAATTTGTATTTACACTTAAGCTGTGAAATCAACCACTTTCAAATTATAAATTATTTTATTTAAAAATTTCAAAAAGTTGTTACATTTTGTAAGGTGGCTTATGTATAATATAATAAAATGGGTGACTGTAACGCAACTGCATCGGTGAGTTACTTTGGGTTGGCGCAACCAGCCATTTCGACAACACTGTGCCAACTCCTGAAAATTAACTGATTTAGACGTTGATGATGATTGAAGATCATCCGATTTAACGCCGTTAGATATGTTTCTATGGGGCTCTCTTAAATTAGACGTATCTGCTTTGCCCGTCGCTACAGAAGCCGAGTTATCACTAAAGCGCGGAATATATGCAGTTAAATTCAATCAAAATATGCGCATATATATGCATAATTTTTATTCCAAATATGCAATTATATGCA